TTACTGCTTAACATTTTTGTGGAAAATATTTTTCTTTGTTTCTCTCCTTCAAAAAAAAAAAGGTACTGACCCCAAACTTTGAATCCTAGTGTATAGTCATAAATTGTATGAATTATATGACTACATTTCTTATGTTTTTCGACTAAAGTAATAAATAGGACAATGATCATTGATCCATATAGCAAATTTCCTAAAACGGTTTGCTTCTGTTCAACAACTAAACAGAAATATTGTTGACTTCGCCTCACATCGTACCACTACCTCTTTTGTGTCGTATAGGTTTGTGTGATTTGTAAAGCATGTTATGAATTTAAAATATAATGCTTTGAATGTCTCTTATCAATGTATTGGTGGTGAGACCCCAATGTATTTTGACTTGGGTTGAGTCTCAAATGCTTACAAAGAATTAACAATGAATAAACAAACAATTGTTCACAAGTACATCAATAGTAAAAAATACAGGTTGGTCTTTGTGATGATTTCCAAGCAACAGAATTATACAGACTATAATCATAACTCAAGCTGTTCCAGGCCAAACATAGCCAAACAGATCCGCACAAGAACATCCACTTATCTTGGTCCTCCCAGGATCTGGCTTTACTGAAAATGTGCCAGTTGGCTGGTTCTCGCGTGTAGCTGCTTTAGACTTACCTGTTGCTTAGAGAGTTTGTGGGTAATATGTGCGCTCTTATTTGCTCCATCAGTGGAAAAAGCCCAGCGTAACAGCCTCATTTAACATCTGACGTAAGTATTTATTGTGCAATCAGATATAACCAGATTTGTGGTTAGTTTATACTTCCCATGACACTGCTCATATGCAAAAAAAAGAGTATGAGAGCATCTATTTCTAAGGACATCTTCACTGTAAAGCACAGCTGCTGCCATTCTGGCAAGTAGGTTGTTTTTTTAGTAATATTACAAGAAGAAACAGGTCAATGAATCTGAATATGTTAATTTCAGTGTCTTTCATGGGTGTCAAAAAAGTCTCTTCATGTATGGAGTTTATTTTGTGTCTTTTTTATTCAATCGAACATACTGTGTTTGAGAGCGAAACTAATTATTTTGTAATTAGAAAATAAACGTTTGCAAAAAAATTCTTCTTAAGGCTCAAAAATAAAGAAATTGAAAACAAAATAATCTGCAATGCGTGTAAATCTTTGAAAAATCATATTTTTCTTTGTGCACTTCAAACACTTTTCATCACAAAAACACAGATGTTGCTCTCTTTTCTGCCGTCTTTTTTTGTTTGTGAGTTGAAAAGTTTTGCTTGCGAGTTAAGCTGTCTCTCAGTGGGTGGTCTCTACCCACCAGGATGAAAGACCTTTTTCTATTGGTCACTCTCGATTGTTTTTTGGCGGCAGTGGCGGGGATTCTGGGGAAATGTAATGGGCGTGGTCAACCTGTGACTTCAAATTTTTTTTTGTGATGAAAAGTGTTTGAAGTGCACAAAGAAAAATATGATTTTTCAAAGATTTACACGCACTGCAAATTATTTTGTTTTCAATTTCTTTATTTTTGAGCCTTAAGAAGAATTTTTTTGCAAACTTTTATTTTTTAATTACAAAATAATTAGTTTTGCTCTCAAACACAGTATGTTTGATTGAATAAAAAAGACACAAAATAAACTCCATATTCATGCACAATGTAATTGTGCAGGAGACTTTGGTGCCCATGAACCATATACTGATGGTCCTTCTTGAAGAGCCACTCTGCAGTCAAACTGATTGGCGTATGCAGAGAGGACAGCTGTGGAGTGGCAAAAGCAATTCTGGCTCTCTACCGATGATGATGATGATGATGATGATGATGATGATGCTCCTCTGCTCTCCATGATTATTCTTCCCAATGCGTTCAGCTCTTCATCAGGAGCCAAACACTGATCTGAGCTTTTGACACAGAACAGACATGACAGTCATGGAAAATCAAGGCGGTCAGAAAAGGAATAAATATTCCAAATTCAGTGTGCAGATGCAATGTTGCATATTACCAAATTAAGACTGCTCTGACCCACCTCAGTCCCTAGTATTAAAATATAGAGTTGTAACTGCAGTGTAAATGCATTTATGCCACCTCTAAGCAGCATTAAACAATCTGTGTAAAGACACTCAAATGCCACTTCAGAAGAGCTTCTGTGTTACCTTTACAGTGTAAATTTGGCAATAGTAAACAGAGCAATGCATATAAAAATCTCTCTAAAAAATCTGCATGTGACGTATTTCTTTAATACAGGTTTAATCTCTTGACTAGTTCTGTAATCTGCACAGTGGTGCATTCTGGCATTGATTTGTCCTTTTCTAGTCTGTTCTTGTGTGTGATGTTCAGACTACCAACCCCCACACATTTTAATGGCTCTCTGCTGCAAATACAGTGTGATAGCCTTTTACAGTCAAGTCAAAGTTCACCAATTAAGCTACTCCTCTGTCTTGCCTCTCAGGGCCATACAATGACTCCATACAATGGCTTGGGGGGGGGGGGATGA